CACACAAATACTTGTCCCTCGTGGGAAACGAACCCATGACCGCCGGCGCCGAAGCCAATACCTTGACAACTGCACCACGGAGTCATCAAATCGGATATGCGGATCGTCTCCTCAACGACGGTCGACTGCATTATTTACTAGGCCGTTAGCGTAGAGAACCATTCTGGAACGGTAGGTATTTACTTTACGAGCGTGAACAACGTTGCTCGTTAGGTGTAAACAGTCGTGTTTATACGTGGTGGATAAGTTATTTGCTTACGTGGCAAACTTACGCCATCGGGCGCCCCATTGGGGCGTTGCTGATTCCTTGGAAAAAGTGTGATAGGAAGACGCCTACGCGTCTCTCGCGCCTCTCTAACAAACTACACATACTTCCCGTATCTGTGTCATTTGAGGATAGTATGTATGGCCTTTGTCAACACGGTGATTACAATTGGCCCAATTCAACTGTTCCAGGAATGTCAAATGGCCCACGGATTCGTCCTCTTGCTATACGAATGCAACAATGTGTTTGTTGTCTTGGCCCTTAGATGACACACCATAGTTAAACGCACGCATGAGCACATGTGAGGCCCTACCCACAGCGGAGGGCCCAAACCCGTGGGTTCTGGCTAGCCCACCGGTTCTGCGTCAGATGAAGCTTTAATAGTCTCGGGACTGAAAGCAAAAACATCAGTTAATACAAGATACAATGTGTTTGTCATAGGTCTGTCCTAGCAAGTGGTATTAGACTCGATCTTGCGCCCTTAGTGTCCATTTGTTGCCAGCAATCTTACACTCGTCATCATTCCACCTGGCCTGATTACCACCAGGCATGACACAATCAAAGGCACTTCCTTACTTGAAGTTATATGTACAGCGAGCAACGTATAGTTAATTATTCAACTCGGGGAAATTATATTAACTTTTCGTACTGTTATGAATTTTAATCAGGGAAGGTGCAAGATTTAGGAGGCAGTGAGTTTTCCTCAATTGTTTTCATCAGGCATAAATAATTTACAAATTAAACTCTTAATTAAAATTAATAGCAGGGAATCTTCACCCTTATTATTCACGATTATTATATCCTCAAGTTTATATGCGATTACTTAATCGAATATTGAAAACGATCCACATAATTATTTTTTATTTCTTAATCTACACGTCTTGTAATACGTTTGAGATATTCAGTTTAGGTAACGATCATACGTTTCGACGATTAAATCGTCCAGCGATTATCCTTACGTAGATGTGACTGGAAATTAAGCCTTAAAATAATAAATCAGCTTTGTGGCTTTGTGAGCTATATAATAGGTCCAACATATAACGTATAGGCAGATGGGTGGGCTTCCATCAAATTAACCCATGGACTACAGGCAAAAGTATAAATCCTTAAACTTTACCTTCATTTGCAAATCGCAGTGGTAGATTTTTTGGTTGACGATCAATAAGAGCTTAAGTTAAGCCTATATTGAATAAATATACTTTGACTTTGACTTTGAAATCCGTGGTTGTTTTCCCCAGATGGAGCGGGGGCCCATTAGCGGAAGTCACAGAAAAGCACTATGGAGGTTAAGGCAATACTTACGTTAGAAAATGGCGCCATTGCATAGAGAGTATTTCTATATACCTCGAATCTATATATCGAATGTACCTCGGGTCCTATTTACGTTAGACATCGCTCTCTTTAAGTTTTGAACAATGTTCTCGAGATTTGTTGCATCGTTAATTCCCGTCACGTTCTGTCGTCACAACTAAAAAGTGATTTCGTTTACTGAGGACAAGTTTGCCACTCAATATAGCATTATACAGTATGGGCAAAACGTGGATGGTTACTTTACTTCATATTATTTTATATTAGTTAGAATATCGGCAATCTGTGAAAGCAATATATATGCATAACTATATAAGTTTTTAAGTCTACATCATTTTTAACTACAAGTCTTGCTACACATTTTAACTATTGACACCATTTATCATAGTATAGTGCAGTAATAGTTAGCATTTACTTACTTTTATTTTTTTTTTAATCTAAAAACATTTGCATCATAATGAGAAACCACCGGTAAGAACAAGCTTAAGCGATATGACGCTTTAGATCCCATTACGTCATTTCGCTTGGTGCAGCGATGTTTAGATTGTACGTGGAGAATCGTAGTCTAATTTTAAATGTGAATTTGCATATTTCACTTGTAATATATGTTATGAATGTGTAGTAGTTGGGTAGTAATGTCGCGTCATAGAATACGTACTTCTTCGTTAATGCAAGGTAAAATTATAGATATCTGGGCAGGAGTTTATTGGTTTTTACATAATTTAAACGTCTTTTCAATACATTCCACCATCAAAAGCTAGCATAATATACAGTGGGTCAGATTTCTAGTGCTCTAAATTGAAAATACTCGAGCAACCCGAGTTAAAATCCCGGTTTTGGCACCAATTGAAAAACTTGAAATTGTTATTATTTGATGTTCAGCAATGAAACAAAAAAATCTGAAGAATTCTACGTTTTCGAAATAATAAAAAAGTTAATATATATATATATATATATATATATATATATATATATGAAGAAACTACCAATCCATATTGGAGTCAATTGGGTTATGACTTATTACAGAGGGTATTACGTCATATGATGTTTCAATTGTCTCCACCAAACGAGGCCAAACGTATAGACGAGGCCTTTGCCCAGCTGTGGTACATATACAGGTTTTTACTTTACTTTACTTTTTATGTAGTAGCAGCACAAATCAAGAACAAATGAATTTTTGCTGAGTATAAAACCAGTCAATAAGAAAGCAATATATGTTAGGGCCGTAGCTGTCTTTGTATGATTTATGGCGTCATATCTTCACAAGTCACGTTTCGGCTCGACGACAAAAACGATTCCCCGTACTCACTTCGCAATCTCATTTTGATTAAATCGACGGAAGATTTATGAAGAGATTACATCAGCTTAATGTAAAAGAAATCCCGCTAATTGCTTGGTAATAACTGCGAGCGATAACGTAATAGAAAGCACGTAGCAATTGTAAATCTAATTATTATTTCAAAGGAAGTGACACTTCAGTCAAACGGCCGGTTCCAATATTCTATCTATCTGTAGCTTTGGTTATTGGAGTTAGAATTTTGACGTTCGTTTTATGGAGCTGATGTCAAATATATATAGGTAGTAACAGTAATATATTAATATATATAACTGTATAATAAAAATGTAGTAAATGTAGTAATTTCTTACATAATATTTTTAAAATATCTCTAAGGTATACAGTGATATTAAGCAGTTTGTGACAACTATCCATAACATCTATGATCCTCCGTTCACATTCACAGAATGATACGCAAATGCAAACACATTTTCACACCAAGCCGATCTTTTTGAAGCTTACATACAACTCGGTAAAATTGACGGAGTGAACATATTCAAATCTTTCCATTCCAATCCACGTTTTATTTCGCGTTACGCCATAGTAATCGTGCTATATTACTGAGTAATCTCCATCTTTATATTGACATTCCCTCTCCTTGCTTAAACTGCAATGTTTGCTTCATACTTGGAAACGCGCACAAATAAGTGCAACAATGAGAAGTATCAAAAAGAAGTCGTACAGCTCTCAAATGGCATTCATTTGAAGAATTTTCTCATTTAAACTTACTTTATGAAGCAATGGAAATATATATCCCGTGATTATTTTTTTTCCAGACTGTACACAATTTATTTTTGCAGACAACAATAGCTGAACATCACAAGTGTTAATAATGTCTGTTGAGTATAAAATATGACAACGATACTAGAACGTTGTGTACGTATTTCAGGAGAAGTAAGAAAACGAAAAATAAACAAAAATGATTCAAGAGGATATACAATGTCGAGTTACGTAAAAGACTTTTGGTCGTTTTTTTATCGAATGTTAATCTTTCTGATACTGTTAGGGTCGTGTTTCATTGTATTAAAGGTAGCCAAATAGTGCGAATTTTTTTTTAATTTAATCCACGCAATGCATCACTACATAGCATAAAGCAATGTCGTTCCACTGTCTGTCTGTCCCTATGTACGCTTAGATATTTAAAACTACGCAACAGATCTTAATGGACGGATAGGATGTTGATTTTTAGATAGAGTGATTCAAGAAGAAGGTTTATACGTATAATATATTGCACCCGTGCGAAGCCGTGGCGGGTCACTAGTTCAACATAAAAGCTTTACACTTACTTATTGATCGGCTAGGAAAAGAAAAGCCACCGACCTAAAGTAAAAATCCGGCGAAAGAAAGTCAGTGGGACCTTTTTTCACCGTTTTTTGACAGTGATGTTTTGAAATATATTAAAGTCGAAAATGAAACAGAATTTCTATTAATAATTTTAATGGTTCATGATAGGATTCATTAACAACATGACCGAGGTTAAGGTATGTTTCAAAAAATAAGAAGAAGATGTTAACTCGTAAAGGAAGGCAAAGGAAACGGATTTGAACAGATAAAGAGCTTTTGCGTTGCGACAACTGAACTGACATGTGAAGATGGCCAAGGTCCATTTCATTAAAAGCTTGCAACGCATCTGCAACTCTATGGGTGTTGCAAATGTTCGGCTGCTCAGTTGCCACCTTCCCATATAGAAAATATAATATTATATAATCTAATACCATATTTACTGCCCCATTTGCATTATAATTTTAATTTCATGTTAGTTAAAGATCTGGGTGATGTTGCCTTTGTTACAATATGAGAATATAACTTTTTGAGCAATACAAAAAAAAAAACTCGAATACAAACCACATACAAGTTAAGTATTTATTCTCAGATTCTCATCCACAAAATTCAATTTCTCTTCAAAAATACTGACTTTCTAATGTCCTTTAACCTATTGAAAATCACTATTGTCTATTGCCTCTTATCCGCCTCATTACATTCGATGAAATACATTTTAATTAGAAGAGCTCTGTTTAACTTAACCTTAAGTGATAAACAAAAAGCAACACGCGTTATTTTTAAAACTTTCAGACGATTCCCAGTAGTTCACGGTAATTCCCATTCAGGGTGATCACTGTATTTTTCTGTTTCCTTTAGCGGGTCGAATATTGTCGATCTCGCTAACGTCCCTGGAACAAAATTATGTGTAATAAATCATGTTTGTTAGGAGACTGTGACAGGGCCCACAAGCAACAGTCGCGCAACAATCTTCTCTGTTGTACGAACAGGCTGGTCCGGCCAGGTAAGTATCACGACATCACAGAACAGCGGCGTGAAGTGGAAGCTTACACTTCTGCATTTCTTCTGGTGAGTGAGGTAGCCGGGGCATACTTCATTAAAAGGTTGCAACGCATCTGCGACGTTAGGATGTTGCAGATGCCAATGGGCGGCGGCATTCACTTAACATCAGGGTAATCGCCAGCTCGGTAGTCGCCTTCTCACAAAAAAAGAAATCGGTCAAGGGCGAGTCGAACTCGTACGCCGATGGTTCCGTACCCACCCATTATACCGCCATAATAAAATTGGTAAATAATCACCACTGATGTTATCAGGAACGGAGGGACCTAGCAAGTTGAAATTTATACCAGATGCTGAGGTCTATAGTTACTATTAGGTCGCAGTGGTGATTATTACAACAGGCAGGATTAATCCCATGAAAACTATAGCGAATACATCACACAACAAATATCAGGACCAGCTTCAGAGTAAGTAAATACATGTGGAACAGTATAGTCATATACGATGAGATAATAAATAATAATAATAATAAATATTTTAGGACACATTTTTACACAACATTTTCTAGTCCCAATCTAAGCAACGCTTGTACTATGGGTACTAGAAAACTGATGATAAACATACTTAAACATACTTTTCTTTTGTAAATAAATACATATTATAGATATATAAACACCCAGACACTAGAAAACACTATGTTCATCACACAATATTTTTCCAGTAGTGGGGATCGAACCCACACCCTCTGGCGCAGGAGGCAGGTAAACTAACCACTACGCCATTCAGATCGTCAAAACAATGGCAATCAGGTGTGTAGTTTAAATAAAAAGCAGCTACTCTAGTAATTCAACTAATTTAAAGGCTTAAGATATCAGAAAAAAAATTCCCGTACGGAAAAAACCAAGTATTTATGGGATTCTTTTGCTGTCGACAGGAATTGCCATGAGATAACTTTGAACATCCTACATTTATAAGATTTTTTAGTAAGTTAAGTTTTATTTTTTTTTGCTTATGCCACATATCGCTATTATATATTATAATTATGTTAGCTAACAGTTTACCTGTTATTATTCCACCTACGATGGAAATAGCCAAAGTGCCAACTAATGCGCTCAATTGAGATGTAGCTTGTTGACTTGAAGTCCTGACAGTGGTGGCGTTCTAAAAAACGCAGGTTACTTTAGTACTCCAATTATTATTAAAACAAGAACTTTAAAGATATGATACGTTACATACAAAAATTAGCGAAATCAAGTTAAACCAAAAGCTGCCCGAATCCTTATGGAGTAAGATGTTCGGTCGCTTTTATAATGTGACGGCGACAATGTAGTAAGATGGAGCTGGATGACAATAATTTTGTAAAAAGAAATAAAATGTATACCTATAAGGTAGTTTTACAACCCATAAGCATTAGGTTACTGATTAATCAAGTCCATATTATTTATTAACGAAAAACCAAAACGCTTTCAAATATCTTGCTCTATATTAATTTTATAATTGATTTTCAGGAGTTCCCCAATTATCTCCGGAGCTCATGATCCAATACCAATGAAATTAACGTGGGACCGCATGGTAAGTACCAGCTTTCAAATAAAAAAAGTGTATCATCAACATCAGTTCTCACAGTAGAAAGTTCCGAGATAACTAACATAAAAGAAATTTCATGAGCTACTGAATCAAAGAGACAACGATAGATCTGGTACCTGCGACATTTCTGGAAAAATTCCTCCCAACTCCTCCCCATAAAGATCACTTGTGGCCAAATAAGCAAACAGTACAGAGAGGAGACCAGAGTAAATGCCGGGCATGCCGTGGAGATTGTTCACCCCGCATGTATCGATGACACCTAACTTGGTAAGTTTTGGCTGTGAAAATAATAAAATCATTGATTTACACTTCAGCTTCAAATACTATGTTAATCATAAAAACACATGAACTTGTGTACAGTCAATACGGAATGAAACTCACTAAATAATACTCATAATAGGAAATAAAAGTTTTACGTCTAATTCAGATCTAAAAAGGATCTAAAATAAAAGGTCACCCAACAGCTTCTGCTGTTGAATGGACAGGTTCGTTAGGAGAAGTACCAAAGCGTCATAGGACACTGAAGAAGTGGAAGTTTTATTTTGTCTGGTGAGTGTAGTAACCGGACCCATATTTTTAAAGGTTGTCAACGCATCTGCAAACCATCGGTGGACCAAGATTTACATAACGATATTCATTTAACATCAGGTGTACCGGGATTCTCGTTCTTTTGTAGATGAATATATTTTGTACGTAACATATATGTAGGATTAAGAGGATGGTGTATTCGAACGTAATGGAAGTGAAGGATGGCAAGAGTGTGAGAGAGAGGAAGGATGGACACAGTGTTGCGATACGAGCGATGGACGATAGGGTTAGAGTTTTCATAACGAGTCTTATTTTGTTTTTTTTTTCTAAAATTGTATTTACCAGTGTTTTACTAAAAACAATTACTACTTTGTTTAAATCGCATTTTTTATTTCATCCCTCAACACTACATATATTTCAAAGTTAATGTACATTACATATATTTCGACCGTTAGCCATCACGCCCTGTGTCATGGATCTACTAACACGCGGGATAAAAAAATTGTATGCTACGAGCATACAAAAATATTTGGGTTAAGTTACTCGTAAACTCATTGTGAGATCTGCTATATTATTTCATAGTATGGCAGTCGTTTTAAAAAACTATAACTAATTATTTCAATAAACTACACTCAGCGTCACAAAAATCGCACCTCTCTGAGTTTGTGCGATAAATGGATGTAATGGCTAGAAACGAATTATATTTATATAAATAATGGTATGTTTGAAATGGGTATTTGAATAGCTTTACATTAGCGAGTGGACTCTAGAACAGTGGCGGACCGTACTCTTCTCCGATGAGATGAGGGTCTGTCTCTTCTGCAATGACAGACGTAGAAGGGTCTACAGAAGACAGGGGGAGAGGTTCACACAACCCTGCTTCGAAGAATCCGTCGTATACGGGGGTGGCTCGTGTATGTTTTGGGGCGGCGTTTCCGCCGACGGGAAAACGGAACTTGTGTGCGTTTCCCGGACTCGGGGTGGCCGTGAGCAAGGGTCATTAAATGCTGGTCGGTACATTACTGAAACCCTGGAGGAACATGTGGTCCCGTATGTTGGTTATGTCGGTGATGGATTCATGTTAATGCATGATAATGCTCATTGCCACACCGCGGCTATTGTACGGGATTATTTACAGGAAGTCGATATTCCTGTTATGCATTGGCCAGCACGAAGTCCAGACCTTAACCAAATAGAACATCTCTGGAATGACCTAAAACGGCGCGTGCGAGCTCGAGATCCAGCTCCAACCATTCTTCAAGAGCTCCAAGATGCGGTACTTGAAGAGTGGGAACAAATACCCCAAGAGGCTGTTGCGACCCTTGTAAGGTCCATGAAAGATCGCATGGAAGCCGTAATGAAGGCAAGGGGGGTAACACTAGGTTTTAAGAACTTTTTTTGTATTTATTAAGTTTTTTTTTTAAATTATTAATTTGTAAATTTGTACATACCCTGTCTTTTTCTTTAATTTCTCCTTCGTCTTGTTATAAAAGTAAAATTCAATTAAAATTCCTGAAAGCTAATGAAATTACCTTTCGAATGATACCCTCAAACCACAACATTGCCATTGGCCTGTTGTGTTAAAATAGTATTTAAATTATTTTTTTCGGATGTGCGATTTTTTTAATGCCGAGTGTATATTACTGGTAAGTATTTTCCTCTTATTATAGTGTGCAACGAATCTATTTCGTAAGAAATATTGATCGTCTATTTTAAAATTATGCATCTATCTATTTAGCTTCACTGTTTTGTTTTGTTCACAAGTTTTATATAAGACATTTTTTTATGTGAAAAGTCGCCAAACGAGCAGACGGTTCACCTGATGTTAAGTGAATACCGCCGCCCATGGAAATCGGCTACACCCGAGGGTTGCAAATGCGTTGACAACTTTTTGAAACTTGGGCTCCGCCCACCTCACTCACCAGACGAAACGCGAAAGTATTATACTTTACGCCGGTCTTCTGTGAGGTCGTGGTACGTACCCGGACGAGCCTGCCCATTCGTGCAACAGCCAAGGCTGCTGCGTGGCCCTACCACCGGAAAACATACATAATAGATAAAACATTCAATCCAACACTTCATCTGTACATATTTTACACTTGGTAAAACTTTTTAATATTAAAAAAGAACAAGAACAAAGTAATAAACAAAAAAATAAAAGACCATAAAAGTAATAAAAAAAATTGTGAAAGTAAAAAGTCAAAACAAAAATGCATAAAATTAATACCGTTAAAAGACTGTATCCAAGGACACTAAGAATTCCAGCTCCGATGCCAATCGCTACGGCACCACCAGCTGTGATGTGCATGTTACAAACGGCGCCGACCGCAACGCCCCCAGCGAGGGTCGAGTTCTGCACGTGGACCATGTCTAATTTGGCTTCATCGTGGCTAACGGCCGTGGACATGACGAATGTTGTCACCTGAAATTTTGTCACATAAAAGGGTTACCCGTAACATCATTTATAACGGCAATTAATAATGAACGAATATTTAGCAAGAATTAAAACGCAAACGAATTATGTCATTTGTAGATCAAGACAACTTTATTCCATCTTTTATAATTAAGGAACATTACTTAAGCATTTTAAGATAATTCTCTAACCGGCCTTTCTGGACGTCCGAGCGCCGCCATCGCTTATAGCTATTTTTTTTAATCAGCTTCATGGCAAGATCTGGTAAGTAAACTATACTCGGATCTAGTATGTTATTAATAATGAATATTTCACTGAATTAAGTCTTAATTTTAACACCGTTGGGATGGACAGCAATAGGTCTAACGTGCTTCGAATAACGCTTACCGTTGCAGCAGCTAAAGAAAGGTATGTGTTGATTACTGCACGCTGATATTCACCGTTCGAATTCGTCAAAGCAGAGTTGAATGAGGGCCAGTAAATCCAAAGGAAAATCGATCCTGGGAATTGACAGAAGAAGGCGTTTCAAAGTCCTGTTACAAAAATGCTTTATTCTCGCCCTATTTATAAATACTATTCATTGCAATACAATATTCAGAAGCTGGTTTTTAACTACGTTTAACTTAAGTTGAAATCAAGAAACTGCCACCAATAATATTGGTAACGCAGAAGTTTTATATAACGATTTCTTGTGACAACTACACATTGTTAAACAAAACTAAGGAATTTGTTATGTATCCGAAAAGTCGGTAATTAAAACCAAAGTTGAGCACCAAAAGATTAGTCACTTGTTTATCAATATCTTTTTTTAGTCCTCGGTAAAATAGAAAACTTTGAATCGTTATCGTCATACCTATCATGGCAGTTATATCCGAAGAGTAGCTGGCGCCATTGAGACTGTTGCTGACATCTAATTTCTTACGATATCCAAGGGCCAAGCTTGCACCGAGGCCAAAGTATGCACCGAACGTGTGAATTGCCATTGAGCCACCAACATCAGCAGCCTTTAATAAGAACATAAATTAAGGGAAGATGATATATCGCACTAATGTTAGCGTGTATCTCGTAATAAGAAAATTCTAAAGAAGATATGACATAATGACATAACTTTTGAAATAAGACACTATTATTGACTTCAACCATACTTGCCCGTTTTCACGATAGAAACATAATAATAAACTCGAATAAATAAATAAACATTAATTTAAAACTTACCTTAAAATAGTCTAATACTATCCATATATTAAAACAGCCCACTGCGGTCTCGACTATGGCTATAAATAACAATTGTGTCACACTAGCAACGCCCAGGAGCGCCCCAAAAGTGATGAGGACGGTTGCAGACATTATGTCGGCTTCTATAACGAAAAAGGAAAAGAATTCAGTATCTTTATAAGGTTTCTTTATAAGTAACGGGGTTTTGATGAATTTTATATTTGCGGTGTTTTTCATAATCTCCCACTGCCGTGCTAGTTGCAGATTTCTACCAGTTAGGGCTGTAACTGATGTCGATCAGAAGTAAATTATAACTGTTTGCAAAATATTTCAAGACCCCTAAATCTAAGTCAGTACAGCATATAAAGTAGAAGATGATACATATTATTATTTATGTCACAACGATAATCTTCAGACCTCCACTGCTTGTATTGTTTTCTTATTGGTTTAATAACAAATTTTTCTGTAAGTATACACATTTAGCTCTCTTTTAGGCCCTAATTGAAGGACTTTTAATAATCTTTTCATAGCCTTACCCTGAGTTAAATTATTATTGAGTCCATGAAATCACAATTTGTAATGAAGGTTTTTGACTACGAATGACTTTTAGATAGTGGTTAAAAAGTGAAATCTATACTAGGTACATAATGTACTAACAAGCTACCAATTTTCAAGCATAAGAAAAAAAAAGTATTTTATGGATGTGTTTTTGCGAGAAGTACGCAAGCGAGGTGGGGTAAACCTGATTTTAAGTGATGACCGCCTCCCATAGACACTTGCAACATTCGTATTGTTACATATGCGTTGCCACCTTTTAAGAAATGTGGGTTTCGTCTACCTCAGTCATCAGACGAAACGCAGAATTATAACAACTCTAGTTCACGCCGGACTTCTGTGAGGTCGTGGTTCTCACCTGGACGGAACTATCCAATCTTTTGCCTGAACTATCACAGTTGAATAAATTGCGGGTGCGTATATGATTGTGATTAAGTTTAAGAAATAACTTACCGAGAATGCTCTTCTTTGTGATATAAATGGCGTTGTTTTCCATGTGATAAAACGACTGACAGAGTAGGGCCCACTGCACAACCAGGGCCGCGAGGAACCAATTGAATCCGAGCGCGCTGTAGCAGTATTTCTTCAGAAACGTCATCAAAAAGCCGAAACCGATGAATATCATTACGTGGGTGTCCTCAAAACCTGTAATGGGGTATCAATATTTATATGCAATCCAAATACATTCTGTAACGTCTCTTATCTTGCATTTAGCTATATGTTTTTGTTTCAGAAATACTGTTTACATTTGGTTTTAAAGTGTTTTAGAATATTATTTATTGGTGTCGTTAAAAGTAGGATAAAAATATGCAGTAATCCTCATTGATATATCGTAGCAACAATCAACCTTAGAAAATATATGTATAGTATTAGATACCTGGTGGTATCTAAAACTATACATAGATTTTGTTTTAATAATATCTAAATATTTTCTTACAACCAAAAACCAAACATTCTGATGGGGGGTAACATAAACTAAAATTAGAAAAACGTAACTTAACTTGGACGTGAGACCATATATCTTATTTCACTAGTTTTAAAATTAAGAAATTATTATTAAAATTTTAATGAACTAGTTTCATTTTCATCTGACTTTTGTCCCCGATCTGGAAACAAAGGTTATGATTTAAGCTACATAAGCTACATCTATGAAAGCAAAATTAATAACTAAATCATGCAATACTGTTAAATTGATACATATTTAAATTAAATATATCAATCAATACGGCTGTCTCTGGCATCGTCACGTATTTGATACACTGAAAGCAATTTATAAAATGTTTTATTTATTTAAACAGGCTTACCGACTAAATACACAAAGACAAATATTTATTTTAAAAAAAAAACTATTATATTCCGATTTGATGTACTTAAAAATTAAGTTTAACATTATATAAATAATATGCAATTAAATTAAAGGTAAACACAACATCGAATAAAATATTCCCTTTAAGGAGAACAATAACCTAAAAACTAGTACTACAATAAAATATTAAAATCAGAAAAAAAAACACCATCACTTATATAATGTATAAAGAGAAAAAAAAAATCATAATACATTTCAGTACACCTACAACCTATTCTGATTAGAAAACATTATAACGCTATACAACACAACATTATAATCTATTCGAAGCATACCGCTTAAAATCTGCTAAAACTGTATTAATCTTCTAGTGTTTCAAGAAATTAAAAACCATTTTTTGCAAGAATCTTGTTAATATTTCCTAGAGTATACGTAAAACGTATTGAAAAAGAGTTTTGAAATTTCTGTTTATTTTTGGAAAGTGTAACGTATTATATAATACACTGTACAAAGAAAAGGGTTAAAGATAACCGAGTAAATAAAGTTAGCTACTACAATTCCACGAAAGCTCTACAGTTTAAAAAAATTATACGAAAATGTAGTCGTAACTTATACATTTATTTTTCTTTAGATTTGATTATCTTCAATACATTATCTAGCGTATCGTAACACTGCGCTAGTTATGTGATGAAAGATGGCATGTGAAAATACGATTTATTTTAGTGCTAATGAGACTTAAAAATAAATGTTATGTATATTAAAAATTAATTTTATACACATTTTTTTATGTGAGAAGGCAAGTGAGCTGGCGGTTCACATGATATTAAGTGATAACCGCCGCCAATAAGACGCAACTTTCGTAGGGTTGCAGATGGATATGCGGTTCATATAGAGAAGTGCAGTGTTGAAATTTGCAAAATTAAGTAATGTAAACGTGCATTGTTTGAGCTCATACTGCCACTGACATAATTATCTAATACCTTTAAACGAGCAATTCTTATATATATATATATATATATATATATAATCGGAATCTCGGAAACGGCTCAAGCGATTTCATGAAATTTAGTATGTGCGTAGATTCGGGGCGAAAAATCGATCTAGCTAGGTTTCATTTTTAGAAAATGTCCTTTTATCCTTGTTTTCAGGGAATGAAAAATACTATTCGAATATCGAATATGACTGTAAATATCGCCGAAAAAAAAATGCTGTAATAGCTCGGTTGGTATTCGGGCGGCACACACTTATTTTTTTACTTTTTTTGTATACCAGATCATTGCTTTCATTATTTTTTTTATTTCCAAAATACACGATTTACCAAAAAAAACGAGCAAAGCTCGGTCCTCCATGTACTATATAATAAAATGCTCTCAAACAATGATATTAATGCATAACATATGATATGCAAATAATAATACATCATTGCTCTCAAACAGTTGCTCAGACTTTATTTACAATGTTTTTGTAGCCAAATATTGCGTTACGTACTCAAGTGTAATCAATCAACGAATAGCAGACGCTAATATTTTTTCAGTAGCTCATTCGATCTCGAAACGTAAAGGAAGCGCTGAGCCCAATTTCCAAATGACAATTTAGATTAATCATAAACGTAAATTAATATTAAATAATGCATTAGATGTGTTATGTTAAGTTATCGATATATTTTCTTTTACTTATTCTTTAATACTTTTTCTGTAAATTTTTCAATTATCATTTGGTAATCTAGGTGGTAAGAACAGTGCAATAAATATTTGTACGCTCCTCTAGAGCAAAAAACATACGATTCTTAAGGATATGACATAACATGACATTGCATTGCATTTGTACAACCATGTTTTTTTTACAAATAAAGCTTATTGTATTGTATTGTATTGAGCCTAATGCCGTATATCCGGTTCCAGTGAAAATCACTACCCTTAATTTAGTATTGGAGATTGTTGGTGCGTTAAGCGATTAACTGCCATACCGCGGTAATGCCTTCGATTAACACTCAGATTTCTTTTAATAACCTATATATAATTGTTCCGTACCTGTGCGATTTCCTTCGTATAGTTTGCGTATAAAACAAAAAGAATGTCTCTAGAACTCATTTTAGTCTGATTGTAGAATGCGTCTAGGCAAACATGGTAACGAAAGAAATGTGTTAAGTCTTAACAAAATGGAATACCGATGTATAGAGGAAATTGTGGAAAACAACTAATCGCATTTAATAATAATAATCTGATTTTCGATACCTTTTATAGACTACATTTAATATTGACTATAAATTAAACGCCATGATGTTAGTAAACAATGTTTATTCAACAAAACATTACACTCCCGTAAATACAAGAAATCATTATTGGAACACAAATTATGTTACATGTGTACGGTTACACGCATATATATATATATATATATATATATATATATATATATATATATATATATATATATATATATATATATATATATACATATATATATATATATATATATATATATATATATATATATATATATATATATATATATATATATATATATATATATATATATTATATATATATATATATATATATATATATATATATATATATATATATATATATATATATATATATATATATATATACAAGAATTGCTCGTCTAAAGGATAAGATAATATAACAATGCTTGTTGTGAATCAATGAGTTGATTGCGCAGTTGCATAGACATAGGCTTCAGCGTCTAAGATCATCGGTTTGACTTCCACCCGGGACGACTATTTATGTGACCCACAAAAAATTGTTCCGGATCTAGCAATATCATTCACAACGTGAACAAACAAGCAACTGCTACTAACATGACATGTTGTGCCACACCACCTAGTTGGGACAAGAGCAGGAGGAAGAACATTAAAAACCAGATCAAAATGTTCTATTAAAAATAACTATTTTTTTTATTAACTAAAACCAAAACCGACTTTAAATCTCGATCTATATTCATTTTATAATTGATTTTCAGGAGTTCCCCAAGTATCTCCGGAGCCCAAGATCCAATACCAATGAAATTAATATGGGACCACATGGGAAGCACCAGCTTTCAAATAAAAAATAATCTTCAAAATCGGTTCACCCAATCGAAAGTTCTGAGGTAACAAACATAAAAAAATACAGTCCTTGAGAGAACATCCTCCTTTTTTGACGTCGGTTGAAAAATCAAAAGTAACAGCCCACATCTGTCCCATCGCGGGACAAAAGCCTCCTCTGTACAGAGAGCATTAGGGTATATTAATATTTTTTTTAAAAACATTAATGTTAAATCACTTCTACCTAGCTGGTCATTACAACTTATTTATGTTATCGCCAACCCGAGCGGCTGACCAGAACCTGTCAAAACATCTGCGCTATGATCATTCCATATTAAGCTCGCTAATTGAACATATACGGTCGCTCCCGATCGATCTACCTCGAAATTACGCCGGCGCTAATACAAAGTCTTCATGGATTAATACGATTCCACGTGGATTGGCTTTATCCCCAATGCGATCATTCATTTCGTCCCCTTTTAATAACATCTGGCCGGGAGGAATTCCCGAGCGTGGAACGGGAGATATATTGCCGGTAACAAGGGGCGATTGTTACTTCTAGAGAAGGCTTAGAAAAGACGTATCGGTAACAATGCATTGAGAGGCGCGTCTTTAATTAGTATATGTAAGAACGTAATAACCACTTTTATAGAGGTTGTTATTAATGTGTTAGTTGGAGTATATTGTATTAGTTTTCATGGAATCTGTATTAATAAAATAAATTAGGTGTTTTTTTTGACACATTTTTACACAACGTTCTCTAGTCCCAAACTAAGCAAAGCTTGTACTATGGGTACTAGATAACTGATAAACATACTTTTCTTTTGTAAATAAATACATATTATAAATATATAAACACCCAGACACTAGAAAAACACTATGTTCATCACACAATATTTTTCCAGTAGTAGTGGGGATCGAACCCACATCCTCTGACGCAGAAGGCAGGTACACTACCCACTACGCCATTCGAGTCGTCAAAATAGTTTTTTGAAATAGCTTTGTAATCAATTGCGTGACTAATTAAAATGCGATAATCCTCGATTTAAGGTAAATGGACAAAAATATCAATATTCTCTTTTTAAATCGTTGCGAAAAAAAGAGGGCAAAGAAATTGCATTCCAGGAAGAGGCATTTCTTCAAAAGTCGCTACCTGCATGGATTGGCAACAATAGGCAATAGAAACAAAGCTTATCCAAAGAAAATACAGTAAAAAATTAAACATACATTAAGTTTCTTTTGTTCTCTGTTTGAAAATTAGTGAAAATTTTACACATAAAACAAACTCTA